GGGGGGGGGGGAAGCATAGTTCCAGTGCAGCTCCAGGCAGGGGTGCTGTGAGGCTGTGAGCCTGTTCTCCCCCACAGCTACATGTCCATTCTCGTTTCTGACCCTGCCTGTAAGGCCAGTGGGGTGGGGGCTGTCTGGAGGTCTAAGTAATTTTTAGGACAGGCCTGGCCTTGATGAGCTCTGGTCCATACTTAAATGTAAATTAGGACTGACTGGGAGCTCAGAATCTGGGGCCCTCCCCCATTTGCCGCATCATCTTGCATAAGTCACAAGGCTCCCTAGAGCTGTGTCCTGAAGCCCGTCTGTCTTACAGTCCTGGTGTGGGTGCCCTGCCACCTTGTTAATGTAGGGGGCCAGTAGTGCTGAGTGAACGCATTTGTCTTCATGGAAGGATTGCCTTCAGGGGCCTTTGGAATCATAGGATACATTAAATGTCTTGTGTCATAGTTGCTACCACTGTCCCTAATTAAATGACCAGAAGGAGGTGAGTCAAGACAGCAAAAACATTGAGGATTTGGAATTACAGTTTTACTGCCTCACTGAGGGAAGTCGAGGGTCATTCACTGTGGCTATTCACACGGATCAATTTTATGACTGTGTTACATCGCTGTACATATTGAATGCAGATTTCCTTTTTCCTGTGAATGATCAGGCCCATAGTTTTTAAAGGCAGCAACGTATCTTTTACTAACCCATAGCTTGAAGAGGGCCTGGAGAGGAAGAATTCCAAAGTGAGGGGCCCCTGCATTTGCACCAGGCTTGCTGGTGCAGGGCGTCTGGGGTCATCTCTTCTCTGAATGGAGCCTCGGGGCTCCCAGCTTTTGGCATCTCCTGGGCTTCTGCTCTGTGGTCCCATCTTACACACTACAAGGACCCTGGGTGGTCTCCTCCCCCTGTACCCCCAGAGCAGCATGTCCACCCTTGACCTTGTCTTCCCTCTCCTGGGTGGGTCTGTGTGTGGGGTGCTCCCTCTCCTGGGTGGGTCTGTGTGTGGGGTGCTCCCTCTCCTGGGCGGGTCTGTGTGGGGGGTGCGCCTCCTGGGTAGAGATCCACGTGGGGGTATGGTGCTCCGTCTCCTTGGGGTCTCTGTGGATGTTGTCCCGGCACCCTATCCTCCCCACTGTCCAAGCACAGCGGTGCACATGTTGAGTCTCAAAGGCAGCAGAGAACTGAGTGGGCATCCCCCAGTCAGCAGAAGGCACAGCCGGGGGGTGAGCGCCCTGTGGGGGGTGCCGCCTCCCCTGCCAGTTCACGACAGGGACACAGGCTGGCCTGCTTCTGGCTGCCCATCGACTAAAGGCTGGAAAGCCCCGGGCACTTTATGGAAATAACCTAGACCGGTCAGGCCCCCAGCGAGGGGGGCTCCCCAACGCCCACCTCACCTTCCCGCGTCCCTTTAACAGGTGGGCAACAGCCACTGCTTAGAGATGGTCAGTTCTTTATTCGTATTTGTAACTCTTCATGCACCAAGGTCAAGGTGCTCAAGAGCAGACTTAGTCCCTCGGTCCAGTGCCCTAGCCATTCAGGAGAAAGGACAGACCTCTGGGCTTTCATCGGGGACCTGGGACCAGGGGGCGGTCAGGTGCGGACCACTGGGTGCTGGGTGGGAGGGGCTCCAGGAGCTGAGGACCCAAGACATCGCCACCGGAGGGTTCAGCCCGGTGTGTTCGGGCTCAACCCAGGGCCACGGCATCAGTGAAATAGTTGCGTTTAGAAGAGAATCCAAAGTGTTCGCTGCGGGGCGGGCGTTCTTCCACCCCGGCTACTCCGCGATGAACCCGTGGGCACTTCCGTCCTGCTCGCTGGGACATCCTGTCCCTGAAGTGGCAGCAGCTGCAGTCTTGCTGCGAGGTGGACGTCAGTGACACTGCAGCACGGGCACCTCGAACCTCTGGAGCCAGGGGATGACCCAGACTTCAGAGTAGCAGCTGAGAATCTGAAACAAAGAGGGGCTGCCTAAGAACCCCGCTGCCGTCAGAGGCCGCCGCTGCCCACCAGAAGCCCGGCAGTTTCCAGTGCTGCTGCGTGTGTGTGCGTGTGTGTGCACGTGTGTGTGCATGTGCGTGTTTTCCTTAGTGAGTTCTTTCCATGCCCTGAGGGTCCTTGTAAAAAAAAAAAAAAAAATCAAACCTACAAATTGAAAGAGTAATTGGGGAATATATCCTTTTGCCTATATTTATGAATTATTAAATTTTGCCCCATTTGTTTTCAAACCCTGCATGTGTATATCAATTTCTGAATTATTTGAAAGGTCTTTTTTCGCTCTAACTTGCCCCCCGAATGTAGATGCACCTCTCTGAGGAGGGTGGGGTCTCCCCTCTATGTCTGCCCATGTCTTTTGGGTCCTGTTGGGTGCCGAGAGGCCTGGCCTCAAGAGTGAAATCTGGAACCGTGGGGACAGAGAAGGGATGGAGGAGTGTTTCCCAAAGCCCTGGCGAGTGGGTGGGGCTAGGAAAGGGGTGAGGGTCTGAGGAGGTGCACCCCCTTTGTTTACCTGCTTTAAGGTGTGGTTGGTCTGGAAGTCACAGTCGTCCAGACTGGGGTGTCTGGTTTTCTTGCAAGTAGTTCTGCCAATTTCCACATCCAGCATGTATTTCAGGCCTTTCACTATCTAAGAGAGCAGAGGGCAGGGCCTGGGTTACTTGGTTCGGGTCAGGAGGGAAGGCAGCTCCTCTCCTGGCAGGAGGCGGCTTTAAGGCAGGTGGTGAAGATGCCCTGCTGGGACTGGTCCGTGCTTGCTGGAAGGGAGTGAGTGGTGGAGAGGGACTGTGGGACTTCCAAGAACTGCTGTGGGAGGAAGGCCTGTGACCGGATCCCAGACCCCTCCCTGTTCTCTCCTTTATTCATCTTCTCAAAGCCCAGGGACTTAGCTCTTGGTTCCAGGGGCGAAAGGTGTGCTCTGTTTCCTGTCTTAGGACACCTCCTTCCTGCCCAGGACTCGCCATCAGGCTTCAGGAGGGTGGCAGGCTAGCGTTGCCCTGGGGCCCCTTGCCATGCCCCCATGCCCTAATGGCCCACCGTCACCTGCCCTGTGCAGCCAGTACATGGGATGAGTGCAAGCAGTGTGCCTCCTGGCTGCCTCGCCATCCCTGGCAACAGTGTGGGTCTTTTCTTTCTCAGTTTCAGGACAGCCCTACTTCACTTGCACGTGGCAGCATTGCCCGCCCTCACTTGTGGTCTCAGGGGGATGCAGGAAAAGTCCTCAATTTTCAGTCTCGCCCCTCCAAGTACCAAGTGAAATAAAGTGCCCAATGTCACTGAGGGATAATGTACCCCCTTCTCCCAAAGGCCCTTGGGCACTAGGCTCTGGGCATCTTGTACTTGTAGTGGTCCTGCAGGAGGCCACAGCCTCACATGGTCCCTGGGGCTGTGTCCTTGGAGTGATGACACTTGGGCTATTTCCATGGAAAACCTTAGAAAAAACCCTTCCCACACCATACTGCCTTTTATAAAACACTTTTCTAATTATAAAAGCGCACTGCTCGCCCTGGCCAGTGTTGCTCAGTTGGTTGGGCATTGTCCTGTGAACCGAAAAGTTGCTGGTTCGATTCTTGGTCAGGGCACATGTCCAGGTTGCGGGCTTGGTTCCTGGTAAGGGGTGTACAGGAGGCAGCTGATTGATGTTTCTCTCTCTCCCTCTCTCTTTAAAATCAATTTTAAAAATCTTTTTTTAAAAATACACTGCTCTTAAAAGGTTTGCAAATGCCAAAAAGAATAAAGACAGTTATAAAAATCACCTATAATTCTGTGATCCAAAGGTAACCAACCATTAATAGTATGTAAAAACTGTCAGCATCTTTCCCTCTTCCCTCAGCTCCACACATCCGTGGGAGTATGAGGATTTTGTCCAAAACCAGCTCCCCACGTCTGGGAACTTCCTTTTGAGTGGCTGTACAGTATCCCTGGTTTTAGCAAAGGCAAAGACTGCTGGGCAGCCACTCCCTGACTGTGCCTCGCCTCTGTTCTGCATCCCTTATCCCAAGCTGACCCTCTGATCTCAGGACACAGATGAACAAGACCTGGCTCTGCCCTGTAGCGTCCCCTCTAGGAAGGAAATCGCTGAGCCATCTGTGTGACAACTTCACAGGGTGTGACACTCAGGCAAGGCTGGAGGAGGGGGGGTTTGTGTGTGGGGAAAGGGGTGCATTTTGGGCAAAGCCCTGATGTGAAAGAACAAGTCCCAGGTGGAGAATGTCAAAAGGTCTTTTGGGGCTGTGGCTCTGGCGGGGGGGTGAGGCAGGGGTGGGGCCCTAGGCAGGGGCAGCTCTGGCATGTGGTGCAGTCGGCCCCTTCAAGGGGACAGCACCTTCATCGGTTTGGTTTCTGTTGCCTCGCTTCTGGTTTCTCCCCACCCGAAGCCTTCAGCACTCCCACCTCTGGTCCCTGTTCCACCCCTGCCCTCCTCTGTGCTACTCCTGGTGGCACCACCCCGGAAAAGCCGGTTTCAGTAAGAGACGGCTCCAGGACTTTTTGCTCAACTCTGGTGACACCGGTTTGGCCTGCTTGTGGGCTATCTGTGGCTGCTGCTGTCAGCCTCTTGGCCTGTTCTGTGCTCTAAATGGCCAGGGCACTAGCTGGGTGGGCCCTTGGTAGGACAGGAGCCTCTGCAGCCTGGCCGCCTGGCCTCCTAGTCCTGAGATGTTGGTGCCAGAACCCAGACCCTCACCTGGACCAGGGCTCTGCTGACATGGGAGTCCTTGAACAAGAAGATGTCATTTGAGCAGTTGTTGAACCTTTCAACACTGTGTCTGGCTGCTTTGAGGACTCCCGGGTCGTTGGTGTTGATTGTTTTGGGAAATCCTGGCTTTACACCTAAGTTAAAGGTCTGGGAACAGAAATCTGAAAGAGAAACACAGAACCAGACAATAGCATTGCTGTTAGTGGGGCCCTTGGTCCAGGTGTCATGCCTCACACCTTGGTGCTCGGTTCTCCTCTCTACTCCCAGTGTGGTCCCCAGCCCATGTAGCTCGTGGCTCATCTGCCCTCCTCTCACCACTCCATCTTTCCTCTACCTTCATCCCCTTCCCCGATCACCCCCCACTTTCCTGTCCACCCTCTACTTTCCTGTCCACTCTCCCTGGCCCGTCCAGCCCTCACCCCACAGTGCAATTCTTGTGCATCCCCATGGTTGCCCCGTACTGAAAGCTGAGGACCAGGCGAAGTAGGTGGCACAGTGATGGATAAGATGCAGTTCCTGTCCCCTGCCCCTGCCCACATAGCCTCCTTCAGAAACCAGGGTTGTTTCCAATGTGTGTTAAAGAAAACCTGGACACGTCTGAAGGTGGCAGAGCCCCTGGACAGGATGCAGCCTTGGGGTGTGAAGAGAAGTCGCTCCAGCTGGCCTTCAAGGCCAACATCTGGCCCCGACCCCTCAGCGAGTAGACCACAGGGAAGTGCCCAAAGGCTGGTCCTGCCTTCTCTCTTGTAAGGAGGCTGCGGCTTTCCTCCTGGGGGACTCTTGTTAGAATCTACTCGGCCTGCAGGCCGTGCTCCTAGGGGCCCCATCCCCCAGGCAGCACTGCAGCACCTGGTACTCCTCACACTGTGCTTCCTCCTGCACTGTTTTGGGTACAAGTCTGAGGGCAGGGCCAGGCCTGGGTGACGTCATCCCACACAGCTCCTCTATGGGGCTGGCGTGTGGCGGAGGTGCGGAGGCCTGGGTTTCTCCCCCCCTTCCATGCGCTTTCTGTCCTGAGGAAGCCCATGTTTGAATAAAAGATGGGGGAAGCAACAAGAAGGGTTTCCCTGCCATCACATGCCCCAGCCTCTGACAGCCAGGCAGAACCGGGGACCCCAATACCCCTCCTCCACTCTCCACACCCTCAGCTCCCACAGCAGCGGAGCCCAGGTGGACCCAAGGCCCCTCCTGGAGGAAGAAGCTGACGTCGCTCCTTTGTTCAGCTCCCCACGGGCCCAGCCCTCTTCGTGCGGTAAGTGCAGGGGGTGCAGAAGCTCGTGTGCACTGGAGCTCACCACCCACAAATGAACAGGCAAGAAGCACAGGGCAGCGAGTGGGGAAAGGCGGAGGCTGTGCAGCACCCTGTCCGCAGGGATGCAGGGACCGGCTGCACCTTCTACATAGATCTGGATGGAGGCCCGAGAGCCAGCTCCGGGCCATGGGGCAGAGGTGTCCCAGGGCTCAGGGGGGGCGCTAGTTCAGGTTATGAACATTGGATTTTATTATAAGGAAAGTCGGGATGTACAGAACCCACAGGCTAAGTGAATTGCAACAAGTGAGCTTGGCCTTCTCTGGTTAGTGGCTCATGGTGACGTTGTCAATTTTACTACAATAGTGAATTGTAATAAATTTACTACAATTTGACTACCTCTTGTATATTAAAAAGTTAAAGTTTTAGGGGAAATCTACATAAATTGGGAGGGAGGGAGTGTGGGAAGAGAGTTTTTAGGTCTGTGAACTGATTTTTGTTGACTTTCCCCCAGATTTTCCTGAAATGTCCGCATGGCAGACATGGTCCAGAGCTTGGCCTCCCTCAAGGCTGGCAGTGGCCCAGTCAGCAGTTTTATTTCATTAACTAAATGAAACGAAGTATAAAGTTCAGCTTTTCGGTGGCACAGCTAGTGTCAAGTGCTCTGCAGCCGCATGTGGCAGTGACAGCCATCTGGCTGGTGCCCACAGGGACCTGTGTCCTGCAGAGGCGGGGAGGTTTAGCATGGCACAGGGGTGCCCAGGCTGCAGGAAGAGGAGGTGGGTGAGGGAGCAGCAGCGCTAACAGACCAGCACCGCGCAGGGATTCCCGCCGCCCTGAGCTCCTCCCTCGCTCCACATAGATGGGCTCTGGCTGAGGTTAGGGAGCCTTTCCCCCCAAAGGCTCTTCTCTGGGCTTTACGCTGGGTGCAGGGCCTTAGAAACAGACTGTTCTATGGCCTCAGGCTGGAGTCGGTCAAGCATATTGGAACGTTTCTCAGGGGACAGGCGTGGGTTACAGGGGTCACAACTGAGGGTGAGAAAAGGGGGTGGAAGCTCAGCTCAGTGGGGAGGCCTTGCCCAGGGTGTCAGTGATCTAATCTCACAGGCCATTTCCACTGCCAGTCAGGTGCCAGGCAGTGGAACCTGGACACCTGATTCAATGGCGCGCACACGAGACCCCCACCGACTGTAAGAACTAGGATGGCTGGGCATCTGGCTGGCTGGTCCCATGCGGCCCGCCTGCTGGGTCACCTCTCCCTGTGGGTGGTGCAAAAGAAGGCTGGAAGTGGGCAGAGAGAAGAGAAGGCATGGACCCGTGTGTCTCCCAAGGACCCACACTGCCTGATCAAGTGGACCCTGCTTGGCCAGTGGGTCTCCCCAGCTGGTTCCCTGGGACCAAAGGCAAAATGTGAAGATTAAGCTCATGATTCCGCCACAGGGCTCCCTACGCTTTAGCAGCCCCCGAAGACCTGGCTCTTCCAAACAGAGGGTTATGGTCACTGTTGGTTCAAGGTTTTCCCAGAGCTTTGTACCCCACAATTGTCCCCTGAGATCTGCCTTTGCAATAATCCAGCCCTCAAATGACATCCTCAGGGAAGCTGGGCTGCAGCCTTCACTTGAGGCGTCTGAAGATCAAAGCAACAAAAACTGTTTCTGTCCCTTGAGCTCCAGGAGCTGGGTTGATCAGGCTGCGCCAGGCCCTGAAACCTTCCTTTCCCCGGCTCCCCACGTGGCTCTGACTCAGGTGGTGCTGGGAGGTCTTCTGTGAGCCGTGCACACTGATGCTAACATGGTGGGGAGACCACTCCCGGGGACCTGTGCCTACTGACAGTAGGAAGATGGGTGTGGATTTCAGTTTTCACAGAAAACTGTTCGGAAAACAGCTTGGTTTCTGCTCGTCGCTGAAGGCTACACAGCAGAGAAAGAAACCCCTTGCTTTTGAGTTTCCAGTTATTACACGGTCTCCCAACCCCATGGTAGACTAATACATTTATTGCTTTTTCTGATTATCAGCTTACCTGTTTTTGGTAGGAAATTTGAAAAATACAGAACAGTTTAACAAAAATATTAGAAATCATGCTCAATATCTTCAAGGTAACCACTGTTAACTGTTTTTAAAATAGAATGTGTTACATTTAATTTGGCTCAAATTTAGCAGAATTAAAACAATGACGTGAACTCGGGTGAGGCTGAACCTCAGGTGAATGTGAAGGCAGCTCCCAAGTGACTCTGGGAAAGTTACAAAAGAGTCATGAAAACTACTGAAGTTGCTTTATTTTTATTTAACTACATGTTTCCCAAATTTCGGTTTCAAGTCAAAACAGGGGTCTAAACAAACAATAAAAGCTCCATTTTTCATTTACAAGAAGTTGAAAAGTCACACCTATTTTTAGGATGATTCAAGAGAAATTAACAGGGAAGGGCTGTTCATGAAGAAAAATATCCCAAAGAGGTGGCTTCCTTTCAGGGAAGAAAACAAACAGGTCCCGACAACATTGCGAGGTCCCTGGGCCCCAGCCTGGGAGTGAGCCCCTCCCTGCTGCTTCCTCTGGGCTGGGTGGGATCTGTGGTTTGTGCAGGGGAGCTGAAGTCTGGGGGAGCAGGAGAAGCCTGCTCTGCGACCCCTTCTCACACCTCTTCAGGGGTGGTGCTTGTGTCCCCATTCTACAGGCGAGAAAACTGAGGCCTCAGAGGAGTGCAGGGCATGCACACTTAAACCCAGGTTTGACTAGTTCTAAAGACCATGCTCTTTTTCCCCTCATTCGAGAAGTATTTTTTGGCAGCTGCTATGGGTAGTGCGAAGATGACTCTGAAACAAGGGAGTCCACAGTACAGGAAGGGAAGCAGTAAGCAGACCTGAGCTGGGCAGGTTCCACAAAGGTGACTGTAACCTGCCCATAAAGAGAGCCCTGAGGGCGGGGAGCTGGGGTGGGGAGACCAGTGAGAAAGTGACAGCAGGAAATGACCTAGATGATGGGGGAGAGCTGAGTGTGATGCAGAACTGATGGCACTTAGTGGGAGGCTGGGTCTGGGGGTGGCACTGTGATGGCCTGGGTGACAGGCCTGAAAGGACAGTCCAGGGAGGAGCAGGTTGGTGAGAAGAAACAAAACATCCTTCTGCAAAGGACCGATTTTGGGGTGGGGACAGGCCATGCACAGTTGGACAGGAGTAAAGTTCTTCCAAATGAGGGGCGACTTTCCCAGGCCCTCCCACCTCTCAGGACAGCACAGAGAACACATCAAGGCCCAGGGATCGGACGCGCAACGTTGGGCCTGGCCCCAGGGACCTGAGCTGCACAAAGCCTGGGCTACATCAGGTGGGAAGTGAAATCGAAAGCACCCAGAAAGGAGAGAAGATGCTGGAATTTGCTCCCCACTGTGGCTCTCCTCAAAGGATGCCCCTACTGCTCATAGGAAAGAAACTGCTCTGGTGTTGAAAATAATGACTTAAGAGGCAGACCGAGGGGCAGGGAAGTGAAGCTGAGGGAGGAACAGCACCCACCCCGGCAGCGTCCCTTTCCTGAAGGGGCAGGGGGGCAGGGAGGGAGCCTCAGGATATCCAAGGGCTGGGCAGGCCACTGAGCAGTCTGTTGTGGCTTCTGACCCAGGTGGCACCCCCAGGGCACACGGGAGTAACAACAGGAGGGGACAAGTACAAGGTGCAGGTGCAAAATGCTGAAGAGCCTGGAGGAGGGCAGCCGATTCCAGCTCCCAGGGTGTCAGGGTGCAGCAGCTTCTGCCCAGCGGGCTGGACTCCTGCCTGGGCAGCGCAGTGCTCTCGGACAGCAGGCCCGCGGACAGCTCAGCTCGGCCTTGCCGCAGGAACTGGGACGGCTAGGGGTCCCCTCAGGCTCCTGGCTGTGCCAGGCCTGCACCAGTGGATCCCTGGGCCATCCTCTCTACAGTCACCCTGAGTCCTCTCCAATCTCCCATGTATCAAAGATATCTAGGGGTCTCTCTTCTCCCCAGTGATCAAAATGGGAAGCAAAGCTGAATTCAAAGAGATATTCTGATGTTTCTCACTTAAGAACGTAGTTTTTCTATACCAATCACAAATGATTCCTACTCCAGCATCCTGTTCCTGGTCCTGTTGCATCCCCACTCCCCCTCCAGAACTGTGACACTAACTCTAGATTTGCTTTTAGCATGCTGGGCTCTAACAGGTCACCCCCGAGGGCACTGCCCTGTCCCCTGAGAGTGGGGACGGTGGGGGGGGGATTCATTTCCAGGCCTGCTGGTGTGTGTCGACTCTTTAGGAAAACAGCTAAGAGTTTCAATCAAATCCACAGGCAAACAGGTGACACCACAGCGTGGGGACACTTAATAACCAGAATGTTAGTTGTAGCAACAGTTAACTGTTTCTAGGCAGATTAAAGAGGGTATAATCTGCCCTCCAATTACCATGAATATACAGAAAAATGTCCCTTAGGAGGCGTGGGACTATGACTTCCTGACAAAAAACAGTTGGTAAAATAATAGGGTAGTGCATGTTTCTGGCAAACAACCCTTAATTTACTTTTCGGAAAAACTAAGACAAGCTGGATGTATGTCCAGCAGGGGGCACCAGATCCTGGGGCACTGGCCACGTGTCCACATCCTGAAACCATATGGAGGACCAGACCCTTTGAGAGAGCGCCTGTCCCCTTGGGCCTGTCCACCCTGTGCTCTGTCTCACATGTGGAGGGGAAAGAGGTGCTCAGGAGAACCTGGGGTTCCCCACCACCTTCCTCTTTCAGGAGTGTTCTAGGTGTGGCCTGGGAGGTGAAGGGAATCCCAGCGTATGACATCATCCCTGAGAAGAGAACCCTAGGGTGCCCAAGAGTCAAATACTGGCAGTCCATGCTGGTGTCCTCCCTGTGTGACCTGGGGGTGGCTTCGTGCAGGTGGCTGCTTGGGCTTCTTCCACCAGCATCATGGGGCCCTTGTTGTGGGCAGGGAGCCAGGACCCTTGGAGAGCAGCCCCCATCGGCCCCTGCTCCTGAAGCCCACAGTCTGGAGGTCTGGCCCTAAGGACTGGGGTGGTAGTGGTGACTGTCAGGCTCAGGGGTGCTGATGTCCACTCTGCCTACCTGGAGATGACATCCTGAGTCCTGCACCTCTCTGATCCTCTCATATGACACCAAAATTCAGTGAATCTGGATTGCTGCCATTGCTCCCATGGAGCTGCCCCCTGCCCAGCTGTGTTGTGGTGGCTCTGAGCAATGATCATATTCATTCTTTTAAAGCCACATGCGTTCTTCTGGCATAAACAGGATGCTGCTTAGTCCTGGCCTTAACCCCTGGGACATGTCCGGAGTGTGAATCCCAGCTCTCCTCCCAGGCTCTGCAGCCTTGGGCAAGCTGCTTAACCTCTCTGAGCCTCTTCTGTCCTCATCTGCAAAAATGGGGATGATGGTGTCACTAACCCCACAAGGTAGCAGTGAGGATATATGAGATGTACAGGTGAAGGTCATACCAATAAATGGTACCCAATAGTGTAGTTATCATCAAGTATTTATCAAATATGCAGCATGGCTACAGTGGGGTCCCTGAGGGCAAATTGGTGTCCTCTCTTGGAAAAAAAATCTCAAGATGCAGAGAGTAGATCAGGAGCCCCCATGGGCCCAGACATAGCCTGCAGCAGTTCCCAGGACCCCTCCCCAGGACAAAGGGGCAGTGGTCCCTCTATTGCTGCAAGTGGTCTCTGGGTGTGACAGGTGCTCCCAGCCCTTGCTACTGGTAACCGAGAACTGATGTCACCTTGCAGGTGGAAGGAGTGATGGCTGCTGGACCTTTGCCCAGGTTGCCCTGAAATGAGAAGATGGGCCATTGCCAGCTTGGCTGGGGACAGGGGTGGGGTGCGGAGAACAGAGGATGACATGTGGCCAAGTGGAGCTCTCCAGGAGAGCTAACAGGTTGAGGAAGCAGGGCTTTTCATTTTCCCTAAGTTCTGCAGGGCTGGGGCAGGAACTGCTGGGGGCTCTGCATTTAGGTTAGTGTAGTTTAGTGCTTAGGCTTACGGAGTAGCCAGATGCCCAGATGGTGCCGCCCTTGGGGTCCCATCACCCACTCCCCGCACTACAGGAAGGCTCTGGAATCTGTTCTCAGAAGGGGAGGGAAGGCTGTGGGAGCCATGTGGACTGGGTGGGGGTGGGGGTGGAGGAGAGAACCAGGTCTGGGGCTGAGTTCCGATCTCTGTTCCTCCACTAGACAGAGCCCTTCAAGGCCCTCATTCTGAGGCCCTCATCTGTCCAATGAAGGAAGCACTTGAAAGGATCCAAGCTGGGGTAGAATACGGGTGGGGTGGTACAGCATGGGGGTTGCCAGGGCCCAGCAGACTCAGGAGAGCTAGGGTGGGTGGCTGCAAACACCCCAGGCTCAGTGAGAGTGCCTTCTGCGTCCACGCCAGTCAAGCCTCTGTAGAGCCCAAGGGGGATGGTTATTTACCCATTTCATGGGTCATGAGACTGACACTTAGGGAGGCTCCAGGCTCCACAGCTAGGCTCAGGGAGTCTGTGTGTCCCAAGGCCTGCATCTGAGTGCAGACTCTGGAGCCTCCATCTGGGGCTTGGTGGCAGAGAGCAGGTCTAACAGGGGAGGGCCCAAGCTGGCTGAGAAGGGCTTCGGCAGGGTGGGGTAGGAGCAGCTGTGGGCGGGGCAGTGTATTGGAGGGGGCCCTGTTTAGTATGAAACATCAGCAAAGGGGAGGCAATTCTGCTGGTTTAAGCTTTAAGGGCACTAACAGTCGGCTAATCCTGGCACTGCCCCTGCTTCGTTAGGGGACAAAGCTCAGGCAAGCAGAAAGAACTCAGCAAATAATTGCCAGCAATTATTATGAATAATGAAATCCCAGTACAGCTGAGAAGGCAGGTACCACATCCCTCCAGAAGCCCCTTCACTAAGGTTTGAGAAGTGTGCTTCTCTGGTCTGAGAATCCCCTTTCTTCCCCTGGCTTGTCCCCTTCTATGGGCATTAAGGGGGCACAGGAAGACAGTGGCATCCAATCAGGACAGGCTGAAAAGGGGTTCAGGGCTTCACTGTATGAGCTAAGAACGAAGCTCTAGGAGAGGGAGGAGGCAGGGTACCCTGTTCCCATAGTCCCTGAGTGCAGCACCCACCCGAAATTGTCCAGGGACCTGAGACACTGTCGGCCAAGAGGGGTGTGGCCCCTCCGTGGACTGAGTGGCTCTGGGGCTGGCCCCTTGTTACTGGTCCTGCCTGCACACGCTCCACTTGGCCTCCTGTGGCCAGGCTCCAGCCCCCTTCCAAAGAGGGAGGAGGGCAAAAACCAGCCACCACCTGGGCATTGCCCCTGCTCCCCAGGCAGTGGCTGTGCGGCTTGAGCAGGTCACTTCAGTCCTCTAGCACCAGCTTCCTCATTGGTTAAAGGAGGTGAGATAGGGGCCCTCTAGGTCTTCACCATCATCCATGATCCATGACCTACGATCTGGTGCTGTGAAGGCATCTCCAACTCCTCGTGTGTGTGTGTGTGTGTGTGTGTGTGTGTGTGTGTGTGTAGGCAGGTGCTCACTGGCTGTGTGAATTGGGCAAGTCACCTACCCTATCTGTGCCTCAGTTTCCAGGAGCAAAAGGCTACTTCTCTCTTCCTCCCCTTCCCCTCAGCACTGGCCTGTCAGGATGGATGACAGTGTCTGATCATCAGGGTCCCTAGAGGAAGTCACAGGACAGCAGCCAGGAGACAGGGATGACCAGCCATAAGATAGAACTGCCTAACCTCACCCATTCCTGTGTTCTGTCCCCATGGAGGGGCCGTAGGGAGCCTCCCTTGATTCTGGGAGCAGCCAAGAACAGAAGTCCCCTCCGTCATCCCCAGGTGGCACTCAAATCCCCGTTCCCGAGTCCCTGGAAGGCAGCTGCCCCCAGCACTGGGGCCTTGGTGCCTCGCAGCCACCTTCTGCTAGGGTTGCCCAACCAGGAACTGTGCTTCGGGACCGGGTTTGGGAGGAGGAGCTCATGGCCAGCTGGCTCCCTACAGCGATCTTGGGATCGAGTCTGAGAGCGGCGGAACCTGGGGAGAGCCTCCACTTACCTGGGGACAGGTCCCCCGTGGTGCTCAGGACCAGGCCGCAGAAGGCGAGCAGCGCCCAGGCTGGCAGCATGGCTTGGCCGGAGGCAGCGCTGGCTGTGGGCCCCCGGAGGCGGTGCTGTGCGCATGGTGTTGGTGGGCGACCCCGCAAATGGCCCCGCCTGTTTGGGGGCTGCCTGCCTTGTTATTGGGCAGGGGTGGTGGTTTCTTGCTAAATCATTTTGAACAGAAGCTCTTCACTCCCACATCTGTCAGCTACAAAGTCAACCACTTCCTTTACTCAAGTTTCCAAAGTGCGATTCTTTGCAAGGGGAGGAAGGGGAGGAAGAGAAATGAGACCTGTGAACCAAACCGCGGCGATCTTCTAGTCTCGAAACTCACAGAAGAGACATTGCATTAAAAAAAAAATTTTTTTACAGGGACTTTCAGAAGCAGAATCACTTGGATTCCCTTCTGCAAACCATACTTCTCAGGTCCAAGACCCCAGTCTTCTGAGGTTCTGAGCGGCCCCCTGCAGGAGACTGCCTGCCTGCAGGTGTGAGTGGACGTCCCCCTGCCCAGCAGCGGGCAGGCAGGAGCCTGTGCAGCCCGCAGTGTCAGGATGACGCTGTCAGGGCACATGCTGCCGCGGTGACTTCTGCACCAGGAATCGGGGGAGGAGTGGTGTTTGCTGGCTGATGGGTCACAGCCTACCTTTGACGCAAAGCTGGTGAAAGGGCAGAAGGAACAGTGTGTGTGGCCCACAGGTTCTAGCACCTGGCAACTTGCCCGTTTACGTGCCAGCTCGGCAATTAGGAGGGGCTCTGGAGCCAAACGGCCTGACTTGGTTTAAATCCAGCTCTGAATGTCAAAACCCAGGTGACCTGAGGCGTGGGCCCTGTGCTTCAGTTTCCCTCTGGTAGGGCTGTGGTGAGGCTTTGGGGACTTTCTCCATGCAAACGCTCAGGGCCTGGATAGAGCGAGCTGTATGGGCAGATCATGGGCCACACAGGAGATGCCTGAGCCTCAGTGCTCCCAGTGCCCTCTGGACTGTGCATGTACTGCATCCCCCGGGGAGGTTGGCTGGGCAGACTCTCTGGATCAGAACTTGCATGTTAACACCATCCAGGGGAAGATCTGCTCCAGATGGGTCCTACTGGGTTCTACTGGGTTCCAGGCAGGGATAGCTGCGCAGCTCTGACTGGATGGGGAAAGCCTCAGTCCTAGTGATTGAAACAGGGTTCCAGGAACTCCTCTAAGGGCTGGCTCGGGTGGCAGGAACACAGCGCAGGCGGGCAGTTCAGTGCAGGAGGCAGGCAATTTAGTGCAGGCTTCTCCTTGAAGTGCAAACCCTTCTTAATAGTCATCTTCTTTCTCAGGGGTCCACATGCCCTCTAATAATCCAAGCACTTTTTATTGGTTAATTTAATCTATTTACATTTAAAGTGATTACTGATTAGGAGGGACTTTCTTCTGCCATTTTATGTGTCTTCTTTTGTGTTTCGTTGACTTTTTTTGGTAGTAGAACATATACATTTCTTTTTCATTTCCTTTTGGTATATATTCTTTAGCTACTTTCTTTGCGGTTACCATAGGATTACATTTCATGTCATAAAGTCATAACACTTAATATGAATTTATACCAGCTTAATTTCAATGACATGCGATACTCTGCTTCTTTAACATCTCTAACCCTACTCCTTTAAGTTGTTGATGTCCCCAAATTACATTTTTGTACAGTTTGTGTCTAAGGCATACACTAATGATTTTAAATGTATCCCTCTCTTAAATGATATGAAAAACAAAATGTGGAGTTATAAACCAAAGTTATAATAATATTAGCTCTTTTTTCATTGATTGAGCCCCAGCTGTGTAATATTAGCTTTTTAAAAAATTTTATCTTATTGTTGAAAGTGTTACAGACACCCCTTTTTCCCCCCTTATTAATCCCCTCAGTTCTCATGTAAACAAGGCTGTGAGCAGGAAAGGTAGAGACTGTTTTCATATCTGGTACAAAATATTGGAATCTCTGAGGTTTGCTTAGGGCTCATTATTTACAGGTACATGCTAATGACTGAAATGCAAAGGGTCCAGAACCAAAGTCCAAGAGCAACAGCCTTCCCCAATGTCCTGAGTCAGGTGGTGGTTACTGTTAATTTTTTCTTTCTCTTTTAAAACAGCATTATTGAGATATAATTTATATACTGTACAATTCACTCATTTGAAGTGTACAATTCAATGATTTTTGGCATGTTAGATTATTAATTAAAATTTTTTGTTAAAGTATATAGAACATAAGATTAACCATTTTAAGTGTACAGTACAGTGGCATTAATTACATTCACTATGTTGTGCAACTATTACCATCTCTATTCTCCAAACTCTTTCATCATCTCAAATAGAAGCTCCGTAACACTTAAGCAGTAACTCTCTGTTTCCCCTCCCCTCGGCCCCTGGCAAACTCTAATCTAATTTCTATTTTTACAAACTTGCCTATTCTAGATACGTCATATAAGTGAAATCATACAATATTGTCTTTTTGTGCCTGGCTTATTTCACTTAGCATAATGGTTTTGTTTTGTTTTGTGTTGTATCTTTTTTTTTATTATTATTGACTCTATTACAGATGTCCCCCATTCCTCCCCCACCTTGCTTCCTTCCACCCTGCCCCTGCCCCTGCCCCTACTAGGCCCTCGCCACATTATTGTCTATGTCCATGGGCTGTGAATTTATGCATTTATGCATATATATTCTTTGGTTGATCTCTTCCTATCCCCCCCACCCTCCTCTGCTCTGAGATCTTTCAGTCTGTTCCACGTATCCATGCCTCTGGTCCTATTTTGTTCATCAGTTTATTTTGTTCTTTAGATTCCACATATAAGTGCGATCATGTGGTATTTGTCTTTCTCTGCCTGGCTTATTTTGCTTAGCATAATAGTCTCCAGGTCCCTCCATACTGTCCCAAAGGATACGAGATTCCCCTTCTTTACAGCTGCATAATATTCCATGGTGTGAATGTCCCACAGCTTTTCTATCCACTCACCTACCACTGGGCACTTGAGCTGTTTCCAGATCTTAGCTATTGTAAACTGAGCTGCTGTGAACATAGGGGTACATTTATTCTTTCTGATTAGTGTTTCAGGATTCTTAGGATATATTTCCAGAAGTGGGATCACTGGGTCAAAAGGCAGCTCCATTTTTAATTGTTTGAGGAAACTCTATACTGTTTTCCATAGTGGCTGCACCGGTCTGCATTCTCACCAACAGTGCGCTAGGGTTCCCTTTTCTCCCATCCTTGCCAGCACTTGTTTTTTGTCAATTTGTTGATAGTTGCCATTCTGACAAGTATGAGGTGATACCTCATTGTAGTTTTTATTTGCATCTCTTTGATGATTAGTCACCTTGAGAATTTTTTCATATGTTTATTGAACATCTCTGTGTGTGCTCTTTGGAGAAGTCTCTATTCAGGTTCTTTGCCCACTTTTCAGTTGTATTGTTTGTCTTCGTGGTGATGAGTTGTATAAGTTCTTTATATATTTTGGAGATTAACCCCTTATCTGATGTATCATTGGCGAATATGTTCTCCCTTAAGGTGGGTTTCCTTTTCATTTTGCTGATGTCTTCTTTTGCTGTGCAGAAGCTTTTTAGTCTGATATGTTAATTTAGTCCCATTTGTTAATTTTTCCCATATTTCCCTTTCCCTTGAAGACATATGAGCAACAATATTGCTCCAAGAGATGTCTGAGATTTTGCTGCCTATATTTTCTTCTAGGATTTTTATGGTTTTGTGACTTATAATTAAGTCATTTATCCATTTTGAGTTTATTCTTGTGTATGGTATAAGTTGGTGGTCTAGTAGGTTTTTTGTTTGTTTGTTTGCATATTGCTGTCCAATTTCCCCAACACCATTTATTGAAGAGACTATTTTTACTCCATTATATGTTCTTGCCTCCTTTGTTGAATATTAATGGACCATAAAGACGTGGGTTGATTTTGGGGCTTCATGTTCTATTCCATTGATCTACATGCCTATTCTAGTGCCAGTACCAGGCTGTTTTGATTACAGTGGCTTTGTAGTATAGTTTGATATCTGATATTGTGATCCCTCCAACTTTGTTCTTCTTTCTCAAGATTGCTGAGGCTATTCGGGGTCTTTTTTGGTTCCATATAAAATTTTGAAATATTTGTTTTAGACCTGCGAAATATGCCATTGCTATTTTAATAGGGATTGTGTTGAACCTATAGATTGCTTTGGGTAGTATGGACATTTTAATGATGTTAATTCTTCCAATCCATGAACATGGTATATGCTTCCACTCTTTTGTATCTTTCTCTATTTCTTTTTTCAGTGACCTATAGTTTTCTGAGTATAGGTCTTTTACTTCCTTGGTTGTTTTTTCCTAGGTACTTTATTTTTTGTTGTAAATGGGATTGTTTTCTTGGTTTCTCTTTCTGAGAGTAGATTATTGGTGTATAAAAATGCAACTGATTTCTGGATATTAATTTTGTATCCTGCTACTTTGCCAAATTCATTTATTAACTCTAGTAGTTTTTTGGTGGATTATGGGGAGTTTTCTATCATGTTATCTGTGAATAATGACAGTTTCGTTTCCTCCTTTCCAATTTGTATGTTTTTTTTTCTTCTTCTTGTCTGAATGCTGTGGCTAGGACTTCCAGTAATATGTTGAGTGAGAGTGAAGAAAGTGGACATCCCTGTCTTGTTTCTGATCTTAAGGGAAATGCTATTAGCTTTTGCCCATTGAGTATGATGTTAGCTGTAGGTTTTTCATATATGGCTTTTATTATGTTGAGGTATGATCCCTCTATTCCCACTTTTCTAAGTTTTATCAAAAATAGGTGCTGGATTTTGTCGAATGCTTTTTCTGTGTCTATTGATATGATCATATGATTTTTGTCCTTCATTTTGTTTATGTGATGTATCACATTTATTGATTTGCGGATGTTGTACCAGCCTTGCATCCCCGGAATAAATTCCACTTGGTCATGAGGTATGATCTTTTTAATGTATTGCTGGATCTGGTTTGCTAATATTTTATTGAGGATTTTAGCATCTATGTTCATCAGGGATATTGG